TATCCTGAATTACTTTAATGCGTTTTGGACTTTGTTACAAAACTATAGAGCTAAAAATTAGTAAAAAGTTTTTTAATACGGGGAAGTTTGATGTGCTGTAATCTGTGCCTACGGGCATACATATACAGGATGTATTTTAAAAGATATTCAACTTTAGACTTTTATTACAAAGTTGAAATTTGACTGAAGTGATTGCACAACTAGGTGCATCTATACCTAGGCTTCTATAGGATAGTCTATAATGACAATAGTTCGAATTTGATTGACAGCACTAACTTAGCCGTTGGCAAGTATTCGTTGATCGTATTAGCGCACAAGCCGATTATAACGTTAGCTTGTCGGATTACCAGATACTGATTTCTGTATGTGGTTTTGCTTGTGAAATTTTGGTTTTTGATATGATTATGAAGATTTCAACTGGTCACAATATGAAGTTAAAGTTTGTGACTAATGTTTATGGTAATGCGCGCCCATGGACACCTGGAACACTAGAGGCATTACAAGCGCGTTACTGGTCTTTTGGGGATTAAGAGTTTGAGGATCTTTGAGGATTCAGGAATTGGGAAGACTGGGGAAGGGGAGGGTAATTGGGCCTCCGTTAACCTCACTCACACGACAAAACACAACGCAAACGTTGCTTCACGTCGATTTTTTGTGAGGCCGTCGTATCACTCCGGTCGAGACGGCCTATTCGTGCCGAAGTATGGCTCTCCCACTTAAAACTGGCGAAAACTGGATACTACATATAACATATGCAATTGTGCATCTCTGTTGGGGTGTCTTTGCATGAGTAGAGCCCTTGGGGAAATGCGTTGTGTAGACTCAGTCTCAATTCTCAGAACTGACAATGTAAGTACGTTTCAAATTCGAAATTATCTGTTACCTATGTATATAACATCTGTTGTTATAATAACTATCGTGAGATATACTGAATTAACTAAAAATCACGAGTTATTTACGTAAATGGGTAGGGTGCGTGACGTCGCCGTGACCGCGCACGCTGCTCATAAGGAAGAGTCCCTCTATGACTCGAAACTAGTAGACCTGTTCTCAGTGTATTTTCGTGAGTAACTTTTAATTTTTAGTTAATTCATATACAGTCTAGTGATCAGTTTTACGTTCGACCGTACAATAGAATTCAGAATACTACTACTAGTAGGTACTTCTGCGTAGTACTAATACTACTAATAGGTACCTAGATGACACACTTGAGAGCAAAGAGACGTAGCCACCAGCGTTTTTTCTTTTTCACACACATACCTTTACATAACAACACGCCTTTTTTTCCCCGAAGGGGTAGGCACTGGTGCACATTACGCCACTCAATTACCACTGTACAATGTAACATCCACATTTCACTATTTATGTTATGAGTCCTATGTATTAGGGGGTGAGCTTATTGCCATATATCGGGCAAAATTCCAGACTTAAAAAAGACCCAGTAATACTTTGCCTGACCCGAGAATTGAACCTCTCGACCCCTTGCTCGGCAGTCGCACTTACGACCATTCGGCCAACGAGGCATTCTTTTTTTATTTCTTGATAAATATTTTCTGATATATAAGTTTTAGTAATTGGTAACATAATTATATCGTATAAAAGGCAATTTCGTTAACTTTAAAATTAGAGCATTTTCAGCAAAAATCATTCCTTTTACAAATAAAAGGAATGTTTTTTTTAATTACAAACAGTTCGAAAAGTGAAAAAAAATACACTCCCATTCTTTGGTCCCAACTGAGTGGCTCTCTAGTGATCTTATCCAACAGCTTGTTCATGTGAACATATATATGTATGTAAAAGGGCTACACACGAACATCAATAAACTATTGAGTATTGAAGCTATTAAGCAGTATTTTTATATTTGTTTTTGTAGTTTTATGGACCAATTAAAAATACCTTTAAACACACCTTACTAAATACTATTTTACAATGCTGACTTAGTACCTTGGCTTGAGATTTGATACATGTTCAGTTAAGACGGCTACTGCTCCTCGGGGATGTAATAAGATACCGCAGCTCCTGCACGATGGATGGCAGTCATTTAGCAGCAGCTTTTCATCCCACACACAATGTTAAACTTTACTTAAAACTTGGGTTCCTAAGCGGGCTTTCAATTTATGAAGAGGTTCTGTACAAGCAAATTTTCTATGACGGTCGTGGTGGTCGTGAAACAAGTGAATTTATTTCTGCAAATAGGCTACAAGGCAGCACTTTTACACGTCAATTTTATCAAGCGAACGATGAGGTCGACATTTCCTAACTGACTACTCTGAGAAGAAATGCCGAAACAAACTCAGAGGTCTGTCTCTTGTGGTGGACTGTGTGGTGGTTGAGGTTTAAGACACCCGCTTCTCATGCATGAGGGTCCGGGTTCGAAACCTACCAACGGCAAGTATTAATGTGACTTTTTCATAGTTATATGTCCTTTTTAAGATGATCAAGATACCACTGACAAACGGTGAAGGACAACATCGAAAGGAAACCTGGGCTTATAATTTCTAATTATAAGTTTGTAATCGCCAACCCTCATTGAGCAAGCGTGGTGATTAATGCTCAAACCTTCTCCGTGTGAGAAGAGGCTTTGCTCAGCAGTGGGCAGTTATAGGCTGTTGATGATGATGATGAAATTTTTATGAGCTTACATTTCTATGTGAAACACTAACAAACAGTGAAAAGGCCCAGAATTATTTTGTGTCCCAGCGTAGTCTAAGACGGCCCTGGTTGTACCTATAAGTATGATTTCTTATTCCATTTACTACTGCAGGTTATGGAATAATATTTGCAAATATAAACATGTATTTCTTAGTATTCACTAGTAATGAGCGTATATCCTGTACCTTTATTGATATTTCTTGAGATACTCAACTTTGTTAATTAATATACACATATACAAGTTACCTAACGCTAGTACTAAACGTATTTATATATGTGTCCGTTCGAACATTAATACTACATTATGCAGCATTATTATTACCAGAACTTGTTAATGATATTAAGTTCTAAATTAATATCTATTCACTGGAAATAATTTCAATTGCAATTAGATATTGCTGACGTGTTAATTCTTTAAGTTTCAACAAATAGGTACACAGAACTATAGGTATATTGAAGTCAAAGTCAAAGTCAAAGTCAAAATAATTTGTTTCAAAATTAGACCAGGAAGGCACTTTTGAACGTCAGCAATAGAAATTTAAAAGTGAACATGTAGCACATTAATTTATACGGTTGAATCACGTAACTGGCTGGCAAGTTTATACGATTGATTTCAACTCGCGCCAGGAGCCCATAATCTTGAGCTGCCAAGCTAAGCTTGACAATATAATTAATTAAATAAAATAAACTATGTATAAATATATGGATGTTACAGTAGGTACAATACAGTTAAAATGCCTGTAATTTATAAACATTACAGTTTAAAAAAGAACAATTATATTTTCTCTTTTTAAACTTTATTCACTAAAATGTTTTGACAAAGAATTCAAATGACATTTTTATTTACTCGCCAAACGTTTCGTTTTCATTTATTTTTTATTGAATATATTTAACGCAAAACGTATGTAAAATATACAGACATTGTTTTTATTTAAACTCAAATCAAATAAACAAAAATATGAGTAAGTGTTAACACTTACTCATTAACAGCTGAAATTAATGAAAGATCTTAATCATTACTCTTACAACTGACTTCAAAAAAGGAGGAGGTTCTGAATTCGACTGTATTTTTATGTATGCTGCTCGATTTCTCGTAGACGCCTGGATCGATTTCAAAGATTCTTTTTTTATTTAAATGGGTAGGCTCGTCATTTGGTCTCATTGTCAGGTCAGGATCTGAATATGGAATCCCAGGAAAACCAAAAGGAACTTTCAAAAATAATAGGAGCGACTAGTGCATTTGTTAATTTATCATTAAGTATTTAAAACCACTACAATCTGATAAGGGTCGTCGTTACGAATGCGATAGCTATTCGTGCTTGGCACTCTGAAGTCGATCTGATGATGGCCCCAAGAGCCAGTCGAGGGAACTCCTCCAGGATAAACACCTGTGACTCCGTGTTTGGGCTTGCATTATTTCTTTTGACGAGAACTTTAGCATAGGATTGTAGCACTGACTTCCCACCTATCAGTAGGTGTGTAAGCTATAAGTACGTATGACAAATAATAGCTATTAATTTTGCCAGTGAATTAGTTAAAATATGATATTCAAATTCAATTACAAACTCACCTGAGTAGCATTGTGAATTCTTAATAGTTACAAATATCATGTTCAGAGATCATTTTGATTCCTCACCTATTATAAATACATGAGTGATATGCCAATCAAAAATCAAGTATCGACAATTGAAAATTAAGTTCATTTGCATTCGCTCGTAATTTTCAAGTGAAAATATTTATCTGAGAGCTTAGTATGAGTTTGTTTTACGTTTAAAGAAATCGAAACGAGACCGCGGTTGCAGCTCTGATTGGCCAGCTCCAATGAACCAACCAATCAGAGCGACGACCATGGTTTTTTTTATGGCATTAGCCGGTACGCCGACGAGCAGACGGATCACCTGATGGTAAGCAATCGGCGTCACCCATGGACACTTGGAACACCAGAGGCGTTACCGGCCTTTTGGGGAGTAGGAGTTTGAGGATGGTTGGGGATTGGGGAGATTGAGAAAGGGGGGGGGGGGGCTCCGATAACCTCACTCACACGACGAAACACAACGCAAGCGATGTTTCACGTCGGTCTTCTGAGAGGCCGTAGTATCACTCTGGTCGAGCCGGCCCATTCGTGCCGAAGCATGGCTCTCCCACACTTAAATTTCTCTTGTTTTGTCTCTCTTCGGTATCTTTTTTACTTTTTTTATTTTATTCGAAATCGTCTCGTTTCTATAAGTGAAAAAACTCGTACTAACCCCTCTGACTATTACATTTGCTTGTTCTTTTCGTGTCCCAATTAGCTGATAATCACAGAACAACGAAATATAAAGTCTCTATGAGGGATAAGGAAAAAGTGGTAACAGTCAGTTGTTATGTATTTATTTAGGCTGTTTTGTAACTAAGGATATTTTTCCAGAGGGTCGTTTCTTGTCTTTGTTGCGGAGTAATTTCTTTTCATATCCGTACACGGAGTAGTAGGGCAGCGGCATCACGGTTGACGATACTGGCAACAGATCTGAAACATTTAACGATTTTTCCTGTTATTTTCGGTACATTATTATAAGCATTTACTGGCTCGTTGATCCAGTCATGATTGTGAGTATTGAGATATTTTCTTGGAGATATTTTTAGAAGATTTGCGTGGTGAGGATGTCTTTATATGTTATGATGTTCAATGTATAAAATATGTTTTATGAAAATCTGCCCTATTCGGTATTTAAATATTTCTACGGCTTCCAAAAAATTAACGTTCATTAATTAAGTTTTATTGGTAGATATACACGATACTGTAAAACGGGGTGAATAGGGATCGAGAGGTGAATAGAGACAGAAGAGATACATAGATACTATGAAGAATTTCCCAATATATATTCATCCCTCTTTTGTCTCTTCTCACCTCTCGATCCCTATTCACTCCATTTTACGATATATAAAAAACTTTTTCAATAATTAATGCGACAAAATATTGGAAAAAAATTCAAATATTATAAAGAGATAGGATTTGTTCATGATTTCATTTGAAACATATAACAAAAAGTTTTAGTGTAACAGTACAAGACATATAAAAGCACAAATCGACCTCTTGAAGGTATATAAATATATAGTACAAACTTAGTACAAGAATATAACATAGCAAACCTGATGAAATGAGGGTGTTCTATACATATACATTATTATAGAGGTATATATAAAGGGACGTGTATCTATATTATCCATATTTGCCTACGCACTACGGAAGAAATTGTGGATATGTTATTTTATATTTGTTTTATCATAAAGTAAACATTTAAAAGGTTAAACAGGGTTATATTTTTACAGACTGAATTTTTTATTTCGTATGTTATTTTTTATATTTCATGGGCCTACGATCTATGGTGGATATGTGGTCTACGATGGAGCACGTATGACTATAAGCAACCTAATCACTGGGGCCTTGAAGACACCTAGGTAAGCCTTCAGGAAATACAGACTCTAGCAAAGAATTTCACTCCATGCATGTTTTTTAATCATCACAAAATTTTAGCAAATTAATAATATAGAATTGGATATTCTATCCTAGAATAGAAGCTGAAAGTCTAAAATGTTTTAGAACACATAATTACAGACCGATTGCTACTAGAGAGAGCGGTTAAACTTTACTACACAATAATCCATGACTTTCATAAAAACCTTTAAAAAGTTAATTATCATAAAGAAAGTTTCACGTAACACACAGTATTGACGTCATTATCAGTGCACGGTAAACGTGTCCACCTTGTTTCTGCTTGTCAATGTCGTTCTTGCTTTGAGCATGTACGATGTGGCTGTACACATTGATTTAAAATGACACGTGACGTCATTTGTGGGCGTACATTGTCTGGGTGTAGAAGTAATAAGAAGATGAAAACAGGTAACGAACAAGTCAAGTTTATATTATAACTTTCGAGGGGCATACTTAATTAATTATAATGTTTTTGTCGTCGTATGTCGCGGAATGCTGCTCATGAATATGAGCCTCTAGCATGGTTTGAAACTAGTCTACATCCTCGTCAAGTAATTAGTCAGGTTTAATTACTTTACTTTTTATTAATTTATTTCATTTTCGGCCATGGTCGTCCCACTGCAGGGCAAAGGCCTCCCTACCCTTCTTCCACTCCTCTCTATGTAAAGCTTTTTGCGGCCAATCCTTGTTATAGATGTCAAATTCGTTCCACCATCTCCTTCTAGGCCTGCCACACCTTTATTTTGTATTATTTGGAAATAATAAATAATACTTGCCTGATACTTTTACATTATCTAAATGTCTATCTATCTAGCTGTCTATGTCTCATGTCAAACAATATGCAACTAAAAAACCAGTAGTCAGTTACAAAAATGCAACACAAAAATTCTATTTTTTTATTAACAAAAACAATAAATTACCTTGACATTTTCAATTACGAACCGAATAATATCATCGACATATCGACAGAACAGACTACTAAAATGAAATGACCTGTCAAAACGTACGTTTAGAATGATAGCTAGGTGCCTAATGGTAGGTAAGCATAACAGTTATAATTTGAAACTGACGCAATTTGCCCACAAATAGTTCAGTACATTGGCGTGTGGACTGGCACGGTACCGCCAAAATCCAAATAGGCGAAATAGATTTCTAACGTGCGGTTTGCAATCGTTGCGTGAATGTGCGGCATTCGCGGAAATGCTGAATGCTAGTATGTGGACTAGGTCGCGGGGTAAACTGGTACTTATATGTGTGATGGAAAGAGTCATATTTAGGGCAGATTAATGAACTTTAGACCTTATGTAATTGGGAAATCCTATGTCTTATGGTCCATATGATGATGATAATGTCTGAACAAGATTAGTTTGTTGCGTAGTCGCTTTGAGTGAAAAGTGCGAGTGCTTGTTTATAATCTTTAGTTTACTAAATTGTCCTTGTCCATTTTTTACTTTTTTTACGCCCTTCCACAATGGTGATGTTGACAGATGTAATTGCCTAAAAGCCGGTAAGATATAACTAAGTATACTTCTCGGAGGACTTAACGAGTTGCCGAGGCTCCGGCTCCAAGTGCAGGAGTAGGAACAGAGTGGTTTTTAGTCAGTAAGAGTCTGATACTCCCTCTCGCCTCACCGGCGAGAGAAGTCATTGGATGATTTTCGGTTCAACAAAGCCTTAGGAAACTAATGATGTGATGTTAATCAATGTTTGTATGACGATATTTCGGCCAATTTACTGACAAGCACATAAATCAAAGAAGTCGGTAAATATGCGTAATTAAATAAAATTACATCTAGTTTATTCTATTATTTATTGATGATTTATCAATAAGTGACCGTGACCGTCACCCATGATGACAATATAATGAACTGAGTAGCTGCTAACAACACTATCTGATGACGAATAACAATGACTAATGATTTGTGATGACTAATAAGTCATTATGGATATAAATTGTGCTTTGCTATGAAACACAGTATCGCGTAACTTTACATCTTTCGCCATTCGAAAAGGTAATGTGGAGATCTACATTACAAGTACCAATTATTTTTTACTCTTACTTGTGAACACAACATAACATCACGCCTTTTATCCCCGAAGTGGTAGGCAGAGGTGCACATTACGGCACTTAATGCTACAATATAACATCCACTTTTCACTATTTATGTTATAAACCCAGTTATACTTTGCCCGACCCGGAAATCGAACCCGAAATCCTTTTGCTGGCAGTCGTACTTACAATCACTCGGTCAACAAGGCAGTTTTACTTGAGAAAGCACGCATATTGCTGGGGACTGCAATTGACTTTGAACTTTTTAAAACACAATAAATGACAAAAAGAAGAGATAAGTACCACGAAGAAATAGTTTTGACAATTTTAATCGTATTTGTTAAACATGTTATTTATCCAACATCAGCCTTGAGCAATTGATTGCAACTATTATTTCATAAAAAAACCATTTTGTTCCTTCCTTTTATGAAAATAAAGCTTGTTTTCGACCATCGCCTGTCGCCGTTTTTCAGAAGCCTTCCGCTTACACCCTGTGTTACCTACTGACAATGTCAACCAAACACAGACTTCCCTTAAACTTATCTTGTCCACATCAACTATTAGAACTCCTACAGAAATCCTTCCTCACATCATCAGTCATAAAGTCGGACTTGGTACAACCACCGTCACATCAAACTACCCCAACTCTCAGATATTTTCAAGAGACTTTCGATCTTTTTACCAGTGTATAAAGTTAAAAATGCTGTAACGAAATCTGACAGATTAGGGTAGCTTGATTTGCTAGTACAGAACTAAGTATTCTAGGTTTTAAACCACAGTAGTCGGTAGTTACCGTTTTAGAGCGGGCTATAGAACATAAGTATTAGATAAAGTTCTACGGTATACAGCGGTGAGCGGTGGCCATTACTAACTCGTTTTACTACAAAACCTTAGAGGTTACACAAACTATTGGTGTTGTGTTTTATAAGTTCTGTTTTACGCATTGGAAAAGGGAGGATAAATGATACATGTCCAATGTTCTATTTAACAGCAAACACATTTTTTGATTACGCATCATGTCACGTGCGCTTGAATATTAATTTTACTTAGGTATTAGTGCATTTAAAGTCAAAGTCAAAGCTCTTATTTCAATTAATCCTTAATTAGGCTTTATTGAAATGTCAAAAAATGTATTGTCCGTCCATCTGTCTGTCAGTGAAGCTAGTCGGTCTGCTATTTTTCGGAAGCATCGCGACGAGTTGTGCATTGAATAACATTTTAATATTTGATATTATTAACATCAAATTAAAACAACAACTATTAAAACTTAACATTAACAACTTTATCTTTCTTCTTTATCATCTTTCGCCAGTACACTCATTTTAAATTGCCACGAATATAAGATTCTTAAAACGTAAAAAGGTTGCACAGATGTGTACTAAATACTACTTATATGATACCCCATAGTTTTCTTATTTTAGGGAATTTTAAAAGGACGTTCCATAACTTGGCGTCGAACTGGCGTGTGGACGCGAAGGAATTTACCTAACGTTATTAACTGGCGCAGTTGAAAGATTTGCTTTCATAATGATGCCACTTTTACCACATCAGTACTAAATGACACATACCAACTTCGCTATAAAACTTGATAAAACAAACAAGTTGATGGAGTAGAATTATTAATACAAAATATTCAGAAAAACTCCACGTCTGTATCACGGCATCTCTTTTCTTTTGTAGCGGTCATCGCCCCATTCTATGTCATCATGTGATTTCGATTCTGATCATGTGATTATGATGTCACCTGTTCCCTAGCATGTATTAATTTCATTTATAATTAAACAGTCTCATACCGAACTTAAACGAGTGCAGATCATTTCACTCCTCACACAGATACCCTACACATACGGCGCTAAGCCCCACACTTTTCCCATCTCTTCAGTAACAAAAACACATTCACGTAATAATTTTGCCCAGCAAAATAACCCAAGTCTTATCACCTTATCCAATCGGGAAAGATGTTCGTTATCTCTGCATAGAAATA